CAAGGCCAAAGCCTGGCTGGGACTACGTACCAGCAAGTCAACCAGCACCAAAAAACATCTCTTCCGATCCAACCGATCCTAATAACATCCTCACCACTAAACGCCGAGCTCATCTTGTGAACCAAGACTTAACCGCTGAGCCTTGGTTTGTACCTTATTTCAATCAAAGTTTGTGTTATTCTTCGATATCAGAGGCTAATCTGGTTCCAAAAACTTACAACGCAGCTCTGAAGTCACCTCAATCAGCCGACTGGTTGGAAGCTATTAAGGTTGAGCTTTCAGCTATGGATCGCTTACAGGTTTGGAACGTGGTACCTATTCCTTCTGGGGAGACGCTTCTTGGTTCGGTTTGGGTTTTCCGAGTAAAGCATAATGCGGCGGGAAACTTCGTGAAGTTTAAGGCAAGACTTTGTGCACAAGGCAGTTCTCAGCGGGATGGAATCGACTACGGTGAAACTTACGCTCCGACCGGTCGTCCTTCTACGCTTCGAGCGGTTTTGGCCTACGGGGTGAACAATCACCTTGATATTCATCAAATGGATGTAAAAAATGCTTTTCTTAATGGAAAGCTGGAAGAAACAGTTTATCTTCGCATCCCTGCGGGTCTCGATGCACCGCCTGGAACTTGTCTTCACCTGGTTAAATCTATTTACGGGTTAAAACAAGCACCAAGGGTCTGGTACCGAGAACTTTTGTCTTTCTTCGGTTCGATCAATTTTTTCCCTTCGGCGAACGATCCATGTCTTTTCAAATCAGCAGATCCCGACTGGACCTGTTTGGTTCACGTTTACGTCGACGACTTGGTGGTCATCTCGGGTGATGTTGCTAGATTCAAAAAATTCATTAACGAGCGCTTTCTGATGGAGGACTTGGGTCCTATCAGTTCATTGCTCGGAATGAACATCACTCACGCGAATGATCATTTATCACTTTCTCAAGCAAACTATGTGACTGAGATCTTGACAGAATACAACTACGTCAACAGCCGACCGGTCCCAACTCCGATGATCCCGAATACTCGACTTGTCTCTGCTACGGAAGATGAAGTTGTGCAGTTCAATGCTCTTGGTATCAATTACCGTCGGGCGGTGGGGTTGGTCAACTGGGCGGCAGTTGCGACTCGACCGGACATAGCTTTTACGGTTTCGCAACTTTCTCAACATCTTGAACGTCCTGGGATAGTGCACTGGCGTGCATTTACTCATCTACTACGTTATCTTTCATCGACTCTTCATTTTTCCATCAAAATAGGGGGTGGAAAAAATAAAATTTCAATTTACGTCGATGCCGACTTTGCGGCTTGTACCGATACGCGTCGTTCTTACTCTGCGTATTTGGTTCGCTGGGGCGATTCGGTTATTTCCTGGAGGGCCAAGAAACTTTCAACGGTTTCGACTTCGACTACCGAAGCCGAGTACAAATCTTTGTATGATGGAATTCAAGAAGCGATTTCGATGCGACTTCTTCTGGAATCCCTTGGTTTACCGGTCTATCCAATTCCGGTCTATTGCGACAATCAAGCGGCGATTGCTCTTTCGCGCAATCCTTTGTTTCAACAGCGAACAAAGCACGTCGATGTGAAGTATCATTTCTCACGTGATGCTGTAGAGAAAAATTACGTCGACATTCGTTATGTATCCACCGCGGATAATGAGGCGGACGGCTTCACCAAATCACTTCCTCGAATTCATCATCAAGCTTTTCTCGGTTACCTCAAAAACAACCTTCAACAATTTATCGAATCTGAAAATTGAGAACAAGGGGGGGTATTGAACTATTTGGTTCTATCTAGTTCTTTCTCTATTTTATACTATACTTTATTCATTTTACACATTGCGCCGCAGTTGTTCTGAAACCTAATTGATCTTTATTAAGCAATCTCTCTTTATTGTATCGGTCTCTTTTCAATCAATCAATTGTTTCTTAACAAACCATCGTCGCTTCATCACTAACCTTAACAACTCTTAGGTTTGTGATCTCTCAGGTCATCCTTAGTATCATCGTGTAGATTTACTAAGATCACCTTCTTTCTAAAAGGTTTGTGATCTCTCAGGTCATCCTTAGTATCATCGTGTAGATTTACTAAGATCACCTTCTTTCTAAAAGCTTGTGGTTCATTAATTCCTTCCGGTCGATGAGGGTGTTTTACCTCATCGACCGGAAGGGATTCCTTCCGGTCGATGGGGGTGTTTTACCTCATCGACCGGAAGGAATCCTTTCCGGTCGATGAGACTTTTTTTTCTTGTCGACCGGAAGGAGGAAATCCTTCCGGTCATGGGAGCGGGAGCGACGACTCCCAAACCCCCTTAAGCATGAGGGGCGGTTTGGGGCGCCGACTCCCCAAAAATAAATTAAAAAAATAAAAAAAAACATTTGATGGCCGACTCCCAAAGTCGGCCATCTTTTGGAAGAACGACTCCCAGCCGACGACCCCTCGACCAAAACGGGAGTCGTCGACTAATTTTTGGGAGTCGTTTTTCCAACCCCCAAAATAAATAAATAAAAAACAAAAACTTAAAACCACTTTGCCAACTGCTCAACAAAAAAATTCAAAAGCAAAAAGAAAGGGCCTTAATAAAAAAACCCGCATTTTCCGCGTTTTGACGCGCTTTTGCTGCGGCACAGCACACGCGCATTCCGCTTTTAAACCCGCATTTTTAATTAATTTATTTTTGCCATTAATTTTAATTTTTTTCAAGTTTTTAAAATTGTTTCCTAGGTTAAAAAATGCGTAGAATTTAATGGTGAAGTCCATTTTCCAATAAAATGACTTTTGATTATTAATTTTTTTTTTCCACTTATTTTTCAATTAATTGTTTACATACATGTTTCTACCTCATTTTTTATGCTTTTTTGAGATTTTAAATTTATTTCCTAGGTTTCAATGTGTGTAGAATTTAATGGTGTAATCCAAATTTTTTAAAACTCAACGGTTCATTTTTAATACTGAAATTTGACATTTTTTCACTTAAATTTCTACAGGTTAATTTTCATTCTTTTTTGACGTTTTAAATTTATTTCCCACACTTTAAGACATGAGTAAAATGATGGTAATAACCATTTTGCATCAAAACCAAAGACTGTTATTGAATACTGTGTTGGACATGTTTCTTTTAATGTTTTTTTGATTGGTTTTTACCGGCTGGATTTTAATCATTTTTCAAAATTTTAAATTCATTTCCTACATCTAAATATGTGTAGAATTGAATGGTGAATTCCAATTTCCATAAAAATACAAGCTTCAATTATAATACGTGAGTGTACCCCGTTTCTTGCATAATTTGTACTGTATACAAATTGTATTTGAATGCAGAATGGATACAGCCATCAATTTTGAAACCTTTCAAAGTGTAGGAAATGAGCTTAAAATTCCAAAAAATAAGGGTAATTAAGCGTGTAAGAATTAATTCAAAAAATACATCAAAGGCATTATTCAAGATACAGTTTTTATTTTGATGCAAATTGATTGTTTCCATCATGTTTACCATGTCTGAAAGTGTAGGAAACAAATTTAAAATGTCAAAAAATAATGAAACTTAAGCTGTTAAAAATCAATTGAAAAATATGACTAATTACAGTATTCAGAATGAACCATTGAGCTTTATGGAAATTGAATATTACCATTAAATTTTATACACTTTTAAATGTAGGAAAAAACTTTAAAATTTCAAAAAATCATAGAAAATAAGGTACACACATGTATGCAAACAATTAAGTGAAAACGTGAAGGATTAATTAAAAAAAATGTGTCAAATGCAGCATTCAAGGTATAGTTTTCATTTTGGGGAAAAATGGTTGTTACCATAATTTTTTACATGTCTCAAAGTGCAGGAGAAAATTTTAAAACGTCAAAAAAGAATGAAAATTAACCTGTAGAAATTTAAGTGAAAAAATGTCAAATTTCAGTATTAAAAATGAACCTTTGAGTTTTGAAAAATTTGGATTACACCATTAAATTCTACACACATTGAAACCTAGGAAATAAATTTAAAATCTCAAAAAAGCATAAAAAATGAGGTAGAAACATGTATGTAAACAATTAATTGAAAAATAAGTGGAAAAAAAAAATTAATAATCAAAAGTCATTTTATTGGAAAATGGACTTCACCATTAAATTCTACGCATTTTTTAACCTAGGAAACAATTTTAAAAACTTGAAAAAATTGAAATTAAGGGCAAAAATAAATTAATTAAAAATGCGGGTTTAAAAGCGGAATGCGCGTGTGCTGTGCCGCAGCAAAAGCGCGTCAAAACGCGGAAAATGCGGGTTTTTTTATTAAGGCCCAAAAGAAATATAATTTTATCCATTTTCCATATTTTTTGGAGGGTCACAGGCTGCAAGCAGCAAAGGAAAAAAAATTAAAAATTAAAAATAAATTGAAGGCTTGAAGGCCTCAAGAAATTCAAAATCAGTGTTTATGCAGCTTTCTGCATCTGAAATTTCCCCAAGAAACTTTCATTTTGCAGCCTGGGGTTCATTTTTGGGGCGCATATCCGCAGGTATCCGCGCGGATACCCGCCAGGGCCAGCGGGTATCCGCCAGGGGATGCGGATGCGGATGCGGATGTCTGATTTGGCTGAAAACGTGAGGGGATATCCAAATCCGAACGGATATCTGGATGCGCCGGGCCCATCTCTAGCCTGGGTGTTGGACTGTTGTCCATCCAAGACTGATGAGGTGGTGCTCATCCCACCACCACTAATTGGAGGCATCAGGCGGCTTTGGAGCCTGAAAAATCATTCACACTTCACGATTAAGCTCAAGTTTGATTGAGTCACACTATGAGGGAGGGAATTACTCAATAGGTGTCGCAGCTGCAAATAAGTCCGAAAGGTATGCAAAAGTACATACATACAAAAAAAAATCAGCAAAATATAAAGGCTTCTTATGGAGAACAGGCATTGGTTTCTTACAAGTAGCCAAAAGGCAAGCAACAAAGATGAAGGACTTCATGGTTACTAGTTTGCTGGTTTTCATAAGTGAGTGAACTGGTTTCAAAATGAATGAGATGTGGAGGTGGGTGGGTGATGGATCTGGTTTAAAAGCCGTCTTGCTGGGAGGAACCTATGCAGACCAGCTTGTTGGAAGGGATTCCTTCCAACAAGCAGGTCTGGAAGCTGGCTTTCCGGGAGGAACCCCTCCTGGTGGTTGGACTACTTCCTCAAGGTTGGAGGCATTCCTCTGACATTGAGACCGTACAGGTCTCAAGGCTGAGAGGGGTTCCTCTCAACCTTGAGACTGTAAAAGGTCTCAAGGCCCAGAGGCAACGCTGCCACAGATACGATACGCTGCGTGTATCATGGAGAATTCTGCAAAGCTGCATGGCCAAAAACCAAATTTGTTGAATCTCCTTGCAAATAAAAGCAGATTGGTCAGATAGTTTTTTTTTATTGGGGCTCAGATACATAGTGATACATGGCAGATACGGGCAGATACCATATCTGTGGCAGCGTTGCCAGAGGGATTCCTCTTGGCCTTGAGCCATGTACGGTCTCAAGGCCGGGAGGCACCCCTCCCAGCATCAAGACTGCACTGTCTTGGGGCTGGAAGGAACCCTTCCAGCCCCAAGTTATTTTTCAATGACCTCAAGCCCCTGGGCTATCCCATAGGACCCAGGCCTGGGTGCTATGGGATAGCCAAGGGGCTAAAATTATTGCATATGTATAAAGTATAACATATGTAGGGTGCACTGCGGCCACACCCCTCTCTCTGAAGGGAAGTGTGGGCCCACACACCAAAGCAGATTGGTGTGCAGTATGGGCCAACACTACACTCTTCTGAACTTGGAGCATAGTCCGGAGTTTACAGAGAGGAGGGAGTGGTGAGTGGATAATCAACATCCTGTCGAGGTGGTGTCAGATCATCTCTATCACTATTATTTTATGAAGGAGAATTCACTATTGAACAGCAAGACCATTGAGCATCTTTTCTCACTCTTTCAGCTTGTCATTGACCATATCCAGAAAGCTAAATCTGTTGACCCAAAACTTGTTGTCCGGACTTTCTCCCAGAATATGGACTTGTCAATAACAAACACAAATTATTGGTTCTGGTGGCAGGGGGGTTTTGGCCACAAGACCTGTCTCTAGATGATGAATGTCTGATGGGTGAAATTTAGAGATGTCAGCAGGTACCCGGTACCCGTTTGCGGGTACCTGTTTTCCAAAGCAGGTACCGGGTGCGGGTGCGGGTGTCAACATTTGCGGTAAAAACAGGTGTGGGTGTCAACATGTGGGGTAAAAAAAGGCAGGTACCTGGGTACCCGCCTTACACCCGCCCTGGGAATGCTTCCCCTGAAGAATTTAATTTATCATTGGTGGTCCAACACTCCCTTTTTTGGGTGTTTTGGGCTGCAAAAAGGTGTCAGCAACCCATGTAGGTCTAGGACACCAGCTGGTGTCTTACATGTGTTGCTTAACTAATCTGGTTGCTTTGTTGAGGCTGGAGGGTTCCCTCCGGCCTTTGAGATGGTGTACAGTCTTGATTAGAGATCGTTCATCCGTACTTTTTGCAGGTACCTGGTACCTCCTGGGGGGTACCCCTCGCACCCGCCCCGCACCCGCCAGGAGGTTCCAGGTGCGGTACTTGGTACCTATTTTTGTGAAAATTTGAACAGGTACCTAGGTACCTCTACAGGTACCCCCTGACTTCCCTACCAAAAATCAAAATGATGGTGGCCTTCTACTCCAAGAACTCCAAGATCCAAGAAGGTACCTTGGCTGCATGGAAACAGGGACTCAAGGATAAGAGGAAGTCTAAAAAAAACAGAAAGGAAGGTGATGGTTTTGGATGAAAATGAAGATTCTTCCAATTATTTAAAAGTTTCAGATAGTTTAAACTTTGCAATAAATTATTAAATATGAAAAAATGAAAAAAAATGACTTGGGACTGATGTTTTACAATAAATATGAAAAAAAATAGAAAAGTAAGATTCTTCCAATTAGATGTAGATATATTACAACAGATATTGAAAAATGCCAAAAAAGTGACTTGTGAGTGATATTTTACAATAAATATGAAACAATAATAATAATAATAATAAAGTGACTTGGGACTCTGGGAGTGAAACTAGGTGAAAAAGAGAGGGGGGGGTACCTGAGGTACCTGCAACAGGTACCTTGGGTACCCCCCAGGAGGTGTCTGGTGTGGTACATGGTATCTATTTTCTTGAAAAAATGAACAGGTACCTGGGTATAAACAGGTACCTAGGTCCGAACAAACGATCTCTAGTCTTGATGACTCGAGGAATTCCTCCAGTCATAAAGACGGTGTACAGTCTTCATCAATGGACATTGAATAAGGCAAATGAGGCCAAGCAAAAGGGTAAAGCTAAAGATAGATCAGAGAGAAGATAAAATTCAAATTGGTGATAGAATAATTTGTTTTTCTTTATTTCTTTATTTTTATTTTATTCTTACCAGCGGTGGGCCGCTAAGCTTTTGGCCCAAAAAGCGTAGCGTAGCGGCCCTTTTTTTCATCCAAAAACCGTAGTGTTAGCGGTTTTTTAGCGGTTTTTTGCTACGCTACAGTGCTTTTAGCGGAAAAAGAGGCCAAAAACCTCTAAAAACCGCTGTAGCACAGCGTAGTGGGCCCTTTTTTGCGGCCCACACGGGTAGGGTTAGCGGTGTTGTGGCAGAATTCCGCTACGCTACGCTAATTGCTAACAGCGATTCCGCTGCGTTACGCTATACTAACTGCTACGGTTAGTGTAGCGGCCCACCGTTGTTCTTACTCATATATCTAGTGAATATCAATCTTATATTTACCAAGTCATGCAGAAATTCAAGGCGGAGATTTCTGGGTGTATTTGCCTGCAAAAATGTGCCAGGTACCCGCAGGTACCCGGGTACCCGCCCTGGCAGCCCTAGCAGGTGCGGGTGCGGGTGCAGATGTCAAAAATATTGGATTTTTGAGGCAGGTACCCGGGTATTGAGCGACATCTCTAGTGAAATTTGGGAAGTGACAGTTCCAAGTGAGGAACATGCAGAAGAAGACCCTGAAATTGATCATTCTTTGTGCCCTCCATCCTCAGAGTTCCAAACCCTTCTCCTAGCAGCATATGAAGCCAAACCTCCAGACCCAGATCCGGTGTGGTGAGCCAGATCAAAACCTCAAGCCCTCAATTCACCACACAATCAGGAAAGAAGGCCCCAAAACCACAAGATCCTTGGGACTGTTGCAATTTTAGGCTAGATCACACAAGAGGTAGAGGGCCAAGAAGAAGAAAAATCCTTTTTGGAAGAGGCTCATGGAAAATGAATGAAATAACCAATGATGTTTATTCCTTCAAGCTAGACCAGTTCATATAGAGTAAATACAATGTGAAAAATGTGGTAAAGAAGAAATGAATAAAAAATGGGAGGAAGAAATATATGAGTTCATGGAAGTAATAACCTGACAAGCCTTCTTATTCTCTTTTAGTCAAGCCAGAAAATTAGTCATAAAAAACATACACTCAACCACAAATGTTTAAGAGTTGTTAATTATAAACAATCATATTTTATGAATAAACCAAATCAGAAAAAAGAAGAAGACTTTTGAGAGACATGAGTTGTTGGCAAGATCTATAAGCTTCATTGACTTTAGAAGTGAATTCAGGCAAAAAAACAAGCTACTTAAAGGCTAGAATCCAGTCTAATTGAGTAAGATTCAAGAATTAATAAAAGAATAGAAGGGATTTTAGGGGAGAAGTAGAAAAAAAACAGTGAAAACTCAACATAGACAGCAACTCAAGACATCTAGACTACTCATGGGGGGGGGGGAGAAATTCACCCTCAGACAGAGCCAGGGTATTAGCAACACTAACCGTAGTGGTTAGCGCAGCGTTCCCAGTAAATTATGGCTGCAATTTCTTTAAGAATACCTCAACAGGTTTTTGGCAGGACATCTGGGATCCTTGAAAACCCTTGTAGGAATTGGTCAAACATTGGAGAAGCCAGAGGGTGTGATGAATTCATTACAGGTTCCCAAACAAGCTTGGAGCCACATTGGAATTGATTTTGCTGTTCAGATTCCTACATATGAGGGGTTCAATTCATTGCTTGTCATTGTGGACCATTTTTCAAAGGGTGTTCACTTGATTCCTACAAATGAGAAATTGAATGCAGAGGGATTTGAGTATAGGTTTTTTGATTGATTTATCAGATATCATGGATTGCCTGATAAGATTGTCTCTGACAGGGGCCCTCTCTTTGTATCTGATTTTTGGAAGGGAGTGCAGAGGTCATTGAAGATAAAACCAGTGTCATCTACAGCTTGGCACCCAAGAACAGATGGTCAGAACAAACAAGCAAATCAGACGTTTGAGACTTTCCTTAGGCATTATGTCTTGGATAGACAGGATGGGTGGGTTAGTCTTCTCCCTATAGCTGAGCTTGTTTTCAATACTTTGGTTGTCACTTCTACGTTCTATTCCCCTTTTTTCTCTCAGTTTGCATTCCATCCTAGAACAAATATGCTTCATAAGGGATCAACCGTGCCACCAGCTGAAAAATGGATCCAGAAGCTTGTTTCAGTTCAGGAAACACAGTAGAATAATATAAAAGTTGCAAAGGAGCACCGGAAGTTATATTTTGACAAGAAGATTCAGGAGTGTCCCACATATGAGACCAGAGATTGGGTCTGGCTTCTCAGACACAATATTGCTACAACTCTTCCTTCTAACAAACTTGATTTTAAGCAATTAGGGCCTATTCTAATCAATTTGCCATTGGGAAAAGAGGTTTACAAATTCATCCTCCCAAAACCTCTTTCCCGACTACATCCAGTTTTTCACTCTTCTTTGTTATTGCCATTTATAGATCCAAAATCTTTCCCCAGAAGAATAGGGATGCCTTGCAGTCCAACATCACTGAAACCCAAGTTCTGGGACAAAAACAATGTCAAGGCAATCATTGGCTACTGCTCACTGGCAAAGAAATTACACAAATATCTAGTAAAATGTAGAGGTGATTCTGTAGCAGACAATTCATGCAAACAGGGAGGATTATTCTCTCAAAATCTTTATCCTTATCTGGAGCAATTTCATGACAAATTTGGCACTGATGAAATCATTTTCCCCCTGATAAGGCAATACAAATTCTTTGTTAAGGCAGGTCAATAGAGTACATGGCCACTCATTTTTCAACTCTGGGCCAACAATCTGGCAAAAGGAAAAAAAAGAAAAAAAAAATAGATGATCCGAATTCAAATCTGAAGTCAAATCTGATTTCTTTCTTTTCATTTCAATTTTTTTTCTCTATATTCAAATTATTATTTCTTTCCTTAAAATAATAGATTATTAGAAGCAACAGTGGGCCGCTACCTTAACCTTAGCAGTTAGTGTAGCGTAACATAGTGGAATTCC